GGGGCGTGCTCTGCCAGCTCTGGTGCCGAGTTGTGTCGGTCATGTGTGCCGCCAGCCCATCAACTTGCTTCACTACAGCAAAGTCTTGCTTGACTTCTGTATTTGAATTGTAATTGTTGTTCACAGTTCGCTTATCATCATGTTATTACTCAAATTACTGCATCTCATTTTGTCTCTAACATTTCCCCCTTTATCATGAAAAATAACTTCCCCCTCTGCACCCCCTCTGGCCAGGGCTAGGGGGTGCACCCTCCCCCCTCCCCTGTGTCTAATGGCTATGTTTTTGTTCGTTGTACAAATTCATACAAAAGTCTATATTCCTCTTATTAACATTATGGTTGAACATAGACTATCACAGATAACAAAGTAGCCTGCCTCGCAGACATCCTTAAATGGCTCAGAGCCATAAGGACGTCTGTGAGGCAGGCTAATAACAAAGCTATGGCTAAAGCTATATCAGCAAATGCTAGCCAGAAAAATGTACTGTAAATTAAAGGAGAGTGCTATTCTTGACTTGTAGCTATGTGGGCTGAACAGTCATGTTGGTGTCGTTTTTTCAAAAGGATCTCATTACCTTTCATTGAATTTGGCACCAAAATGGCAGCTGTTAATTGTCTTCTAACTGTCAAGGGTTGGTTGCAAGTCAAGAATACCGTAAACCTCCACTTCCAACTATAAGCCCTGGGCTTATATTCTTTTGTAAGCAATTTTTGATGGGCCTATACAGGGGGGAAGTTATATACAGGGGGCTTATACAGTACATGGGTGCTCTTTTCAATCTTGTGTTACTATATTATAAACAAGTCAGTCATAAACAGGAAAATAAAGATGTATTAAAGGCAATGCATAAAGACAATGAGGGGGTTTATATTTTGGGTGAGGGGAGGCAAGCTGTAACAAACTTGAGCTATTTTAGGTTCGTATTTATGTCTCGATTTATGTTTATCTTTGTAAAAGAGCATTCAACCACAATGTTCCCTTCACTGTTTCCATGTGTTGCATCCATTGTTTGCTTGGTATACCAACTGATATTTTGCATGGATTATTTTTGTCTGCATTTCCCAGAATTTATTACTCCGTAAATTATGAAGCTTTCCTCACATCTTCGGCATATACATTAACATCACCTTCCCTGGAAACTTTGAACCAACATCCACTCAACACCTGATAGTTGTCAACCAACAAATATTAAAATATGTGCATATTTTATCCCAGCACAAAAATATTAAAGACGCAAAAATTTGCAAAACAAGCCTTATTCACAACTGTAAATGAAATTGTTCATGATATGAACTCGCCTTTGATTTTTTCTCATGCTGATATTGAATATATCACAACGTTTCTTCGCCATACAATACATGCGTTTCATTGTCAATGTCGAAATTTTAAATTAATATCTTGCAGCGTGATATTTTTTTATGAGCCGCACGAAAATGTTGCTTCACAACATAACACATTTCCCACACATTCTAATTGGATAGACAACTTTATGCACCATGAAACGCCTTTAAGAAGTTTCTGCCCTAATTTTCGCTCCTTGGATATAGCGTCCGCCATTATGTATGGACGCCATCTTGAATACAGGATTCCCAGTCGCTCAGAAACCTAACTCATTCCCATCATCCAACGCGAGAGACTGGAGACGAGTCAAAGGCAGTATATCTATTGAATTTGTAGTCGTGTTTGAAGCCGTTTAATAAACTCGCAGATTGTATTTTATTAGGTCTAAAGCCACTCGCGCTCGTGGCTTTAAACCTAATAAAACATTCCTGCTCGTTTATTAAACAGTACTTAACATACACACGATCGAGAAGATCCCATTTTGATTGTTGGTAAGCATATTCAGAACTGATAAAAATGTTACCAATTACGCTTGTTTATAATTCTCTATTTCTTCAAAATTCGAGATGACCCACATTCCATAGACACGAATACTAAATTCCCCTTGACGGATTCCCCTTATTACGTTTCCTTAGCGTTTTGCATTGCGGTTATAATGGTAAAAAACAAGAACTTTTAAAAAATGCTAGGGCAGGTGCGTGATAGCCAAAAGCAAAATATTCGGGGAAACATTCAATACTGATTTCCATTCGAGGCCGCTATCTTTATCAGTCTTACCACTATAACCACAATGCAAAGCGCTACGAAAGCGTAATAAGGGAATCATCAATTAGGTAACTAAATTTGTAGCCTGCTAACAGAATTTTGTGAGACAGTTATTAATTCATGTCGATAATTGTAAGCCCAAGGCTTTGGTGTATGACTATCCTATGCTGTTTTGTATTAAATGTTGTAAATGGACTCGCAATTTTATAAGCAAGCGTGAGCCAAATCTATATTTAATTTCCAACCAATATGTACACTCATACTGATTACTGAACGTATAGTATAGGCTATTAACTTGGACCATCACTAATGTAAATTGCATTTCATAAATGTCGCCTGAATATAACAATGTAAGCATTCTTTATTCATCTTTATTCACTTCGCTCAAAATACGGCGTTTTAACGTTAACTCATCATAAGTAAATAAAAGACTGGGCTCTAGCCCCTGTAACTGTCAGCGTCAGCCCCTACTCTTCGATGCTTATGCCTCGTTCCTCGTGCAAAGCAGCCATGGATCTTACTATTCAAGAAGAAAAAGACTTATTGGATGCAGATGATACAGGTAATCTCGTACCAGATTCTATAACATCGTTACTGTTAAATCCACAATTCATTACTATGATGAAAGAAAGCTTGTTACCGTCTCTTGTTGACGGCGTAAAGCAGTCTTTCTCGGCACATACCGAGACAACAAACAGTGAACAAGCAACATTCACCGGGAATTCTGCCGGTTCAACAAGTGGAGATAACCATGCAGCCTAGTTACGCCTCTGGGTCAAAAAAAAGGTCAGACACTTCCCAGACCTACCACTGGGTCAACATCTAGTGTAAATTTGTCAAGCTAACCACCCACAAAAAGGCCTCGCTTAGAGAATACAACGTCAAACACTGCACATGTTATTGAAGTCGAAGATGAAGCCCTACCTGACAACTCGCAAGGGCACAATAAAACCTTTGAGAGTGAAGACGACCCACTAGAACTCACTGCTCAACGTTGGCAACCTTCAGAGGAACTTTCTGCCCTCCTCAGCATGTGTTTCGCAAAACCACTTTCTCGTTTCGACAAACGTCAGCTGATAAAATCGTGTCCTCGTCCTATTAACGTTGATTGTGTATATACACCAGTCCTGGATAATTTTTTTAGCGGACTTAGTTCCGAAATGTAAATTCGATGAGAAGGCATTGCGGAAAACCAAAGATTTACTCCCTGATGAAACTGGACCAATTGTCATGTGCTGTGAAATGGTCTTGCAATGACAAGAGCACCCAGCTAATTTAGATCTCTCAGCTATAATGGGTTGTCTCACAAAATCCTTTCAGTTATTGGACAATGTTAATGATCATATTCGTAATAAGAGATTTATCAAATAAACGATCTTTTCACAAAGCACTCTATCTCGACAAAAGTGGTTTTAACCGAAAAAAAATCAAGCCAACAATTTTTCGGTTCGAAATTCGACGAGCTGGCTAACACGATTAACGAAGTAAGGGCGGAGAACAAAAATCTATGTAGTTATTGTAGCTATAATCGTACAGCTATAACCAGTGGCGTAGCCAGAACTTATTTTCTTTTTTTTTGGGGGGGGGCAACCTCACGCCGATGGCGTGAGACCGTCTAGGAGGGTCCGGGGACATGTACCCCTGGAAAAATTTTGAAATCTAGGGTCCCTGAATTGCGATTTCTAGCAGAAATCCGAAGATGATAAAGTGCATCGAAGACATGAATTTTTCCAGACATTTCTACTTGGAATTAAATAAATTGGAAAAGTCAACTTGAAAAATAGGAGTAGGGCTCAGTGTCACCTTATTTCCTCTCTGTGATGCTGGGGGGGGGGGGAGAAAGTCCCAATGTGATTTTGATCAGAAATGTTGCATTTAAATCATTTAGGTTCTATGAGACACCATTTCCGCATTCTCAAAATTGAGTTGCTTTTTCATACAATACAGAATAAGTCTGACGGAAGAAATATTCATGCTATGACGATGCATACATAACAGTTAAAAATTTAAACTAAACCTATTCTTCTTGGGACTATATCTACAACTGCTTTAACGAGATTTTGCAAATCAAGTTCCTCCAGTATATCGCCTTTTTCCCCAGTCAAGACGTACTTAATCAGTTTCAGCTTCGAGCATATAACATGTACCCCCACCCCTCAATTTCTCTACGGATTTAGCCTTTCTGAGAGAATGGTTTTTGTGGCGATTGGGAGGCTCTTAATATAACTTGATATTTTTAAGAAGAAAAAAATTGCAATTAAACCTCCCAAAACAAAACAGAACGCCTCTGCGGCGGAGAGTGCTAGGAAATAATCGCAAGGCTTGGAAAGTCTAGCATTTTATCGAATTGTTTGCATGAAATCTATCGCTATTATGAAATACTCGGTGAAGAACAATATGAATTACACACAAGATGGCTGTGGAGGAGGCTATGGAAGGGCATAATCTCATTATCAAGTAAATCAACTGCAATTCTGACAGCAATCGTGAGCAATTCTGCTTCGGAAATGGCTTTACTGGAGGGGGGAATTCTTTCCCTGGGGGGGGGGCAATTGCCCCCCCCCCCAGATATATAGTTAAAAAAGGCACTGCAAACGAAACACTAAATTGTGATTTTTACAACGAATGTAGCCTGATTAATACTTTATCCGACAAAAAAACTAACCAATATTGTCTTTCTGTTATGCATTTGAATATACGTAGTTTAGGACGGAATCTAGATTGCCTACAGAATTTGATTTCAAGCCTGAATCTTATGTTCTCGGTAATCGGAATTTCGGAAACTTGGCTTCAAGATTCAACCCATCATGTTGATATTAACGGATTTAATTTCGTGCACAATCATCGGTCTGAAAGAACTGGAGGTGGTGTTGGCCTGTATATCGCTTCTGCATTTGAATTCAAAACACGGACTCACTTGTGTTTCGAAGACAATGCAATTGCTGAATCTTTATTTGTTGAAATTTTTAATCCTAAGGGAAAAAATTATATCATAGGAGTGATATGTAGACCACCAAACCATAATGTGGCCAATTTCATCAGCGAATTAAATTCTTTGATCGGGAAAATCTCGAGAGATAACAAAAATTGCTATATTCATGGGTGATTTCAATCTGGACTTATTGAACCACAGTTCTCATCAATTTACAAATGAATTTTTAGACATAATGTATGCTAATTCGTTTTCTCCTCTAATATAATTACACTCCCTGCTAGATTAACGTCACATTCCGCCACACTTATTGATAATATATTCACCAACAGCTTGGAAAAATATGCCTTCAGTGGCCTAATCTTGTCAGATATTTCTGATCATCTGCCTATATTTGCTATCGCTCATGATAATGATCTAAAAACGGATGAGGCATCATATATCGTTATCCGAGATAAGAGTACTACGAACAAAACCCTATTCCGTAATAATTTAAGTGCTATAAACTGGTATGACCTTGCCGATATTCATGAACCAAAACTAGCCTTTTCTATTTCTTGAATAAATTTAATGACACTTACAATAGTTGTTTTCTATTAAAAAAAAATAAAAAACAAAAAACCGACAGTTAAGAAACCATGGCTCTCTAAGGGGCTTTTAAAATCAATTAAACAAAAAAATCGACCCTATAAGCGTTATTTAAACTCTCCTTCCAGTGATAATTTGGTTAAATATAAAATATTTAAGAATAAATTAACTCATTCACTACCAATTGCCAAGCGCCTTTATTATGAAGAACAAATTGACCGTAACAAATCCAATTGTAAAAATACTTGGAATATATTGAACGAAATTATTAACAAGAGTAAACAAGAAAACAAGAAACTCCCATCCACATTTGTCATTGATCAACAACAATGTTCAGATCCTTATGCCATTGCCAACCAATTTTCTGACAATTTTTCCAATATTGGTTTAAATCTAATTAAAAAGATACCAAATGCTTCAGTTTCCCACACTTTCTTTCTTACTGAACAAGAGATCATTAACGTTGTTAAAACCTTTTAGGAACGGCGTGGCTACCGGTTACGATAATATACCCTTATTTGTTATTAAAGACAATATCGATATAATCGCTAATCCCTTAACTCATGTTGTTAATTTGTCACTTTCATCGGGTACTTTTCCTGATCTACTAAAAATTGCCCGAGTTGTTAATGTTTTCAAATCCGGCGATCGCCGACTGCTATCAAATTATAGACCTATATCAATCTTGCCAATTTTATCCAAGGTTTTTGAAAAAATTGTTTATAACCGTTTAATTAACTAAATCGACAGATTTCACATTCTTATTGATAATCAATATGGTTTTAGAAGTGGTCATTCGACCTACTTAGCTTTGTTGCAATTATACAATAAAATTTCATCTGCAATTGACAAAAATGAATTTACAATTGGCATATTTTTAGACTTATCTAAAGCTTTTGACACTGTCAGCCACGATATCTTGTTTGATAAGCTTCAGCACTATGTAATCCGTGGTACTGCACTTGATTGGTTCAAAAGTTATTTGTATAATCGACTCCAATATGTACAGTATAATGGTGTTTGTTCGAATAAAACTCCTATATACTGTGGGGTACCTCAAGGCACAATTTTATCTCCGCTTTTTTTTTTAATGTACATTAACGACATTTGTAATGCCTCAAGTAGATCTCAACTAATCCTATTTGCGGATGTCACAAATTTATTTTATTCTCACAAAGACTTACAGTTCCTAGTTAACCATGTCAATCGTGAACTAATTAAATTATCCTCATGGCTCTCAACAAATAAATTATCTATAAACTTGAAGAAAACCAATTTTATGATTTTTAAACCGAAGCAAAAAAAGTAGTATGTTAATCCCAAAATTGCCTTAAATAACCATGAAATACATTTGGTCAATGAAGCTAGCTTTCTTGTGGTAATCTTAGACAAACATCTGACATGGAAATCACACATTGCTCAAACTTCTAGGAAAATGTCCAAATCGGTTGGAATTATAAAGAAAGCCAGTTTTTATCTCGATACAAGAGCACAAGTTATGTTATATTATTCCCATGTTTATCCGTATATGCAATATTGTATCCTAGTATGGGGCTCAACTTACCCATCCAATCTAAAGCGTATTGTTTTATTACAGAAACGTCTGATAAGAATTGTATATAAAGCGTCATGCATATGACGCTCACACCCAAACCTTTTTCAAGGAACTTAGAATTCTCCCATTTGATAAAATCTATCTCTTTCATTTAGGCAAATTCATGTAGCAGTTTCACTGTCGATTGTTACCGCATAATTTTGAAAATTGTTTTCAAAATATCAATCATGTGCACAATTACTACACACGTAATTCAAAGTTATACTTTCTTCCTTTCTGTAGAACAAATGTTAGGCAATTTTCTATCAGCTACCAAGACGTTAAATTCTTTAACTCTCTCCCTCAGGATATCTGTGAAGCTTCATCCGTTTTTAGTTTTCGGAGAAAAACTTAAAGAATATCTTTTTAATCTTTAACATATTATCTTCTAAATCACTAACACCTAATTTCTATAATAGTGTTCATTATACCTATAAATATATCACCCTTGTTAAATCTCTTTTTCTGACATTACACGTAATGATCAACTGTACTTTGAATAACTAGTTCTAATTATCATATAAATTAACGGTCACTATAGGTAGATGCTTAATATGTAATTACACTAATGAATTCGGATTTGTCTCCAGTTGTGCAAGAATTATTCCGTTTATATGAATAGCACGATTAAGGTAGCCCAAAATTAAT